AGTTTTATATGGACGTTTCAATCTATAAAAAATCCCACCTTTTTTTGCTAAAGACTTTCAACAATGACTTTTGGGTTGTTAAAACTAATTAAGCTCCAGGACGCTTACCATAAACTGCGCTGTTATGTTTAATAGCTTTACTCTATAAATAAAAGTTTTGCGTTCATACTCAGGGTTCAGAGAGCGCGAACGCCATCAAAACCTAAAAAAGATTCCACCGTTTCAACACCCAACCATCTTGAAAGATGTTCTGAATGTAGAAAACTAGTGTTAAGTATCTTAACCATAGGATACATATGCTGCATCTCGATAGTACTGAGAAGCTTATTCTAGACTTCTTTGGCATTTACTGAAACGAAAACTGCCGATATCTTACTTTGCTTGCCGAAAGCAGAAAAATAAAGACACGTTGATGATTGCTGCGCTGACAGTTGTCTGGCCACCTCAAAAGAGTAAGTGGCTTAAAGTTACGACTTTTTAAAAGTTTTAACTCTAAAATTTGTTCATTCTGTTATCTGCGATGCCACAAAGGGTCAAGGATAGGAAACTCACAACGTTGTTTCGGTATTACGAAACAACAATTCTTTTTAAATACGCCTTGTGTGAGCCCCCAAAAAACACGACATAACGACCGAAAATCAAAAGTCTCTTAGTGTAATTTTTAAAACACGATTGGCTTGTGACTCAGCGGCTGGCTTATCAGAGTCTTAGTCTGACTGAAGGTTATGATCTTAAATTATTGGTTGATCGAGTTTACGTTCACCGCGTGTAGGCGGATAGATAACCTGCCATGAACGCGGCTTGCAGCCTACCTGCTGGTTGCCTGTTCGCTGGCTGCCCCTAACACTTACCCATTTGATTCGAATCGTAAGCTTTGGGCTGCGGGCTCAGTTGCAACGGAACCGCTTGCGTTCGTTTTCTTCCTGATAGTCTAGAAGCTTAGGTAGATCGGCTTGCTACTGGAACTGTGGTTTCTTTCCCTGGTTTTGACAGGTCGGCTGTGTCCTCTAGTAGTTCTGGTGATACGGTTGAGCTTGGATTTGACACGTTAGCACATTCAGTGTGTTTCAGCTGATTGGCTCGGCGCAGCCAAATGTATTAGCCGACCCGAATCTCGTAGACGATGTTACCATTCTTTCGGTAAACACGTCGAAGCGTCCATTTCCCCCGATTTTTCCTGTTTTGCTTTGCCAGCCCCACCTAAACCCAGATTGAACAATCGTTGTTTTGCACCATGGCATCGATTGGATTGCCTTTTCATTGACGTCGGATGGACTGATACATCAACAACACCGATTGATGACAGCGGACGAATAACGGCAAATGGTTTGCTAAGCTTCCTCCACACACAGGAATGACATACCATTTGGAGTGTTAGGGTTCAGGGTGGCTTGATAGGTCGGGAACTTCCTCTGTCGTCCCCTCCCCTTCTGACTTCTTAAGAGATCGCTTGAAGGTGTCGACGAATCGCTCAACCAGTCCGTTGGACTGCGGTAGATATGGTAGCGAATGCACGTGGTCAAGGTCCTACTGTTTGCAGATTTGGACGAAAGCGGCTGATGTGAACTGCCTTCAATTATCGCTCACGAAGGTTTCAAGATAACCAAACCTGCTGAACAGTTGCCGAGGAGTGTTTATTGTGACTCCGGTTGTTGTGCGTACCATGGGGATGACTTCCAACCATTTGCTGTATGCGTCAATGGCGATAAGGAAGTTCTAGCCATTTAGC